TGAATAAAACATATGCCACACAATATGTCTCTGGTTAAATTATATTCTCCTATAACCCGAATTTTAAATATTTAATCCTTTTGAATATGTTTTTGTTTTCTTTACATTCACGTTGAAATCCAGTATTAACTTAGCTAATATTACATTGAAAAAAAAAGAGACAGACTGAAACTCGTACTACATTCATCTAGTCCTGTAAACAGTCGGAATTTGGAAAGTTTTCCTTCGTAGTTTTCAGCAGTTTTTAGAATTAGTCCTGTCTATTTGTTACACAAATGTCTTTACTTCTTGGCATTATCTTTTATCGAGTGTTGTAAATCTAAGATAATTTTACACGTTTTTTAAAGAATTATTATTAATGTCTTCAACAGCAAGACGCTCTTGACAACACACGTCTCATAATTTTGCCCAAACACAATTCTATTAAGTCTTCTGCCCCCGCCAGTGGATCAGCTGTAATTCTGCAGACTTATATCGCTAAAACTCTGGTTTCGATACCCGTGGTGGACACAGCACAGATAGCGCATTGTGCAGTTTTGTGGCACAACGGTAAGTCTTCGAATCTTATAACGCTAAAAACCGGGTTTCGATACCCGTCTGGCACTCAACACGAATAGCCCATTTTGTAGCTTTGTGCCTTCGAACAAACAAAATTAAATCTTAAAAGTTTTGAGACGGCTTGACTGAGTAATGAAAAACTTTGTTATAACTGTACGACGTTTCGACAATATTTTATCATCCTCAGGTACAGAAACGTCGTACTGTTATAATGAAGTTTTTTATTACTCAGTCAAGCCGTCTCAAAACTTTTATTTTCTCAAAAGTGGGCTCCTCGTTATCAAGTTAAAATTAAGCATTCTAACACCGCTGGCTTTAGTCTTATTTGAAATCACATAAAAAGTTTTATTTTGCCTGGAGTCCCCCAAAGGATCAGGGATTAGTGTGCAGGCTTACGACGCTTAATATCGGGTTTCTATACCCGTGGTGGGCAGACACAGATTGTTCATTGTCTAGCTATGCACTTAACAAAAACGAAACGTTTTTTTCGTCTGGCTGATGTAGCTATGTACTCAACAAAAACGAAACGTTTTTTGTCTGGTTGATGTAGCTATGTATTTAACAAAAGCGAAACGTTTTTTTCGTCTGGCTGATGTAGCTATGCACTTAACAAGAACGAAACGTTTCTTGTCTGATTAATGTAGCTATGTATTTAACAAAAACGAAACATTGTTTGTCTGGTTGATGTAGCTATGCACTTAACAAGAACGAAACGTTTCTTGTCTGGTTAATGTAGCTATGTACTTAACAAGAACGAAACGTTTTTTATCTGGTTGATGTAGCTATGTACAGAACAAGAACGAAACGTTTCCTGTCTGGTTGATGTAGCTATGTATTTAACAAAAACGAAACGTTTTTTATCTGGTTGATGTAGCTATGTATTTAACAAAAACGAAACGTTGTTTGTCTGGTTGATGTAGCTATGCACTTAACAAGAACGAAACGTTTCTTGTCTGGTTAATGCAGCTATGTACTTAACAAGAACGAAACGTTGTTTGTCTGGCTGATGTAGCTATGTACTTAACAAAAACGAAACGTTTCTTGTCTGGTTGATGTAGCTATGTACTTAACAAGAACGAAAGGTTTCTTGTCTGGTTGATGTAGCTATGTATTTAACAAAACGAAACGTTTCTTGTCTGGTTGATGTAGCTATGTACTTAACAAAAACGAAACGTTTCTTGTCTGGTTGATGTATCTATGCACTTAACAAAACGAACGTTTTTTGTCTGGTTGATGTAGCTATGCACTTAACAAGAACGAAACGTTTTTTGCTGGTTGATGTAGCTATGTACTTAACAAGAACGAAACGTTTCTTGTCTGGTTGATGTATCTATGCACTTAACAAAAACGAAACGTTTTTTGTCTGGTTGATGTAGCTATGCACTTAACAAAAACGAAACGTTTCTTGTCTGGTTGATGTAGTTATGCACTTAACAAGAACGAAACGTTTCTTGTTTGGTTGATGTAGCTATGTCATTATATCTCCTACTTTGTGTTTTTTTTCTACCATAATTTATCAAACTACTTAGTATGTATCTAAGACAACCGTTCCTCCCTCGTTAGAAACGCCTAATACAAAAAAAAGAGAGTCTACAAAGATTCACTTGAGCTACTAGACTATTGTAATCTATTGTAACCTAGGATCAGCATATTTTATTATCGTCACAATGGGCTATCCGTGTCGTGCCTACCGCAGGTATTGAAACCCGATTTTTAGCGTTTAAGGTCTCAGACTTACTACTGAGCTACCGGGGGTTAGGGGGTGGATAGGATTCCATTCCGAATATTTTATCTGACTGAAAAAGTAATAAAAAGTACTGGAAGAGAATCCGATATTTTTAGAAACTTTGATGATCAAATAATAATAATATCAAAAAAGTCTTCTGAAGCTGTGATTCTCAAAGTTTTTAAGTTCACTAATAATCTGATGTTTTTGGGGTTTTTTTTATACTTCGGAGGAACACCATGAAATCCATACACTCGACTATCTCTTCCACAGACCGCAGATTGAGAACCGCTGTTCTAGAGCTGTGATTCTCAAAGTTTTTAAGTTCACTAACAATCTGATGTTTTGGGGTTTTTTTTATATCTCGGAGGAACACCATGAAATCCATACACTCGACTATCGCTTCCACAGACCGCAGATTGAGAACCGCTGTTCTAGAATACATTCTAGTTCATTAACATAATTTTTCCTTATTCAAGTTGCTTCAGTGAGTACGTCCTTATTTCTGAAGAAATTTACCAAAAAAAAAAAAAAAAATCCCAGTTCGTCTCTTCTCCCGTCTATGTCCATATTTACACGTTTCATTTGTTTACCTTTTCTGGGTCTACTTTTTTTACGATTTTTACTTTCAGAAACCCATTTTGTCACTAGGGTCACTTGCCGTTTACAGTAATTTAACGATAAATAAATACAACAATAATATAATATATATATAAATATATTACCCCCCTCTACGTTTAATACAAGTTGGCTTGAAAATCTACAGAAAATGGGCTACGAACGATCCTCGCCGGCGTGTTTTTTTTTCAGCTTTTCAATCACCGTAGGCCGGGCTATAAAGAGCGAGGTCCAAGGTTCGTCACTGAACACGCTTCTCACTGTCATACGTTATACAGAGAGGTAGGAAATACCGTTATTCTGTTCCAAGTTGGATAAAGATCATGTGGCGGATGGTGCTACTGACTAGGTATCTTCCTTCTGGTCAGTAAATACCGTTATTCTGTTCCAAGTTGGATAAAGATCATGTGGCGGATGGTGCTACTGACTAGGTATCTTCCTTCTGGTCAGTAAATACCGTTATTCTGTTCCAAGTTGGATAAAGATCATGTGGCGGATGGTGTTACTGACTAGGTATCTTCCTTCTGGTCAGTAGGTCAAAATTAGGGACAGGTTTACCTGAACTCTTCAGGTCTCTAACGTGGTAAGTTGTCCTATGTGTCACATATTATTTCATACGGGTTTAAAATTCCGTACCCTCAATCTCCGTACTGCATATAGTGAAGTTCCAAGACAAAATACAACTTTAAGTTAAAGTACAGAACAGGTTACCTAAAAGGCACATCAGTGCCGATAATAATATTAAAATTATTTAATATCCAATAACACACAACAGGAACGATAATCTTCAACTTAACAAAGTAATGTTACAAAACAAAAAACGTTTTCCATGATAAAGTATCCGTAGTAGTGCTAACAATGCTATATAAACTGATGATCGACTAATCTTATTAACATTAAAACCCCTAGCGGTTTAAATCGAAAATAAATACCAGTTTTAAAGTTGTATCACCAAGATGTCAAAAATTAGTGCGATAATTTGCAACAAAAAATCGAACTTCTATAATCTTGTGGTACATTCAATCGTTTATGCTCAAACATGGGGTACTTGTTACACAGGATACTTGTTACACGGGGTAGTTGTTAAACGGGGTAGTTGTTACACGTGGGTACTTGTTATACAGAATACGTATTACACAGGTTACTTTGTTATACAGAGTACTTGTTACACAGGATACTTGTTACACGGAGTACTTGTTACACTGGGGGTATTTGTTACACGGGATACTTGTTATACAGGGTAGTTGTTACACTGGGTAGTTGTTACACAGGGTAGTTGTTACACAGGATACTTGTTACACGGGGTAGTTGTTACACAGGTTACTTTTTTATACAGAGTATTGTTACACGGGGTAGTTGTTACACAGGATACTTGTTACACAGGGTAGTTGTTACTCGGGGTACTTGTTACACTGGGGAGTTGTTAAATAGGATACTTGTTACTCAGTGTATTTGTTATACAGAATACGTATTACACAGGTTATTTTGTTATACAGAGTACTTGTTACACAGGATACTTGTTACACGGGGTAGTTGTTACACGGGATACTTGTTACACAGGGTAGTTGTTACACAGGGTACTTGTTAAACAGGGTATTTGTTACACATGGTACTTGTTATACGTCCAATCCTCATTTAGTCTGTGGGCAGTAGCACCACCAAAAATACAAAAAAACAAGCTTTCTTTCCTGTCAGTTTATATATAAAGAAACAAGAGCATGATCACTTGAGTGAGTTCAAATAAAGATTTGGTTTCTCATAAATATAGAAATCATTCACTTTAATAGACAGACAACTAGACGTACATATAGATAAACAGATGGAGATACAGGTAGACAGAAAATAGAAAGTTATGGAGAAAGCAAATAATTAAACAGACAGATAAATACGTAGGTAAGCCTACAGACATATTGTCAAGTACATAAACAAATAGACAAACAGAGAAGTGGAAAAATAGGCCTAAAGACACACAGATATTTTCGGTTACGAATGGACAGGAAAGTTACTTCGTTACATACAAAGTTATAACGTTCTAAGTAGTTAGTACTCATGGTTTGTATAGCAATGTCGTGATTGGTTGTCTGTTTATAGGACTTACTTGTGAAAGTTTGAAAAATCCTGGCCGCTGTTCCCAGTCCGTTTCTAACAGTTTTTCACCTGCTGATACATAATAACGAAGACGTTTCGATGGAAGAAGTTATGGGCAACTTATATCCTCGTCGAAACCGGATTGGCTCTTTCTGTAAACCGATTAGAGTTTCTTTTCTCTACTGTTCTACCAGTAGTTAAGCAGGAGCTGTTTTCAGTTACTGCGTTGAAATGACGTTACAGACACCGACAAGCGCGTTTAACGCGGGAAGATGAGCTACATTCGACAGCGAGACGCACGGGAGAGATCGTTCGGAGACGCGATCGCACTAATGTTCTCTACGCGACGAACGTGCTAAACGTTGTGGTCTCGTGACGAATGCCCGACTCCGTTGATAATGTGCGACATAAAGTCCACAGATGGCGCTCGTGAAAGACCTGAAGAGTTAGAGAGAGACACGTAAAATGTAACGCAAAACGACCGAAACCTAATGGTCGTTTGTTACATCGCTCCAGGCGAAACGAAGCAAGCGGACGTTGTAATGTTAAGATATCCCAATCTACAGAAGCTCCAGATGGCTACAGAATCGAATTAACGTAAAAAAAGCACTTTCCTATATCTTCATTAAGAACAGTTGAAATCATCATAACAGCTCGGCGCGCTAATATTACGTCTTGGCCTTTACCGTCAGAGGCTTAATATGCTTTAAAAATGTATTTCCTTATTTATGACCGACAGTATCTGATTATAGGATATGACGCTTAACCTAGCCCCGGGATGTAATAAAATGTATTAGTGTATACATCACATAACGTTACACGACTCAGCCTGTTCACGCTCATTAGATTTTTTTTTTTATATATATAAAGTACGAAGAAGAAGTAAAAAATATTCTAAAGTAAAACCATTTTGTACTGGTTATATTTCATTATTTGTTCCATAATGTCTTTTTTGACAACTTGAAACGATCTGCCGTGAACAACGAACTGACGTAGAGGCATATATATGACGTCACGATACACTCTCGGCTACATATCTGACCTTAGGGTCGGAGGAACGAAAATCAGTCAAAATGTAAACATGTTTTCCATTAAACAAGGTTCGGGTTGTAAGTACTGAAACGACAACATTATCGAAATGTGCTTTCGGGACGATATTACGGTTGCTATGGGAACTGGAGGGCTATAGATATTAAACAAACTGACATTTTCACATTATGATAACAAGACTTGGAAGAACTTACTTGAAGCCAGTATATACTGTTTTATTATAGGTCGTTACAGAAAAATAGGGGGGGGGGTAAATAATAATAATCATGAACATTACCAAAAGTTGAAGATCTTATATTTTAAAAAAATATATATACACTAGTGGTTCTCTCTCTTTCATGTAACGACGTCTTAGGACTAACAAAACAGAATAACCTCTCAAAGCAATTCGTTCATTATCTTACATAATTAGGTTGCTAGGTGTAACGTGGGGGATCTAAATGTTAGATAATAATATCACGTAATTTAATGTGAACAACACTGTGTTTTTTTCGTGAATTATACACACACACACATATACACGCACCGTGTACACAGCGCCATCTTTGAAGTAATTAAGGAACTAATTGATTTCCCTCTAGAGATAGATTTGTAAATAAATACAGCAAAATATATTTTTTGTTACTATATTTATTGAGAATATGTTACGTTAGAATGTGTAAAGGGAAGTTTGATTAAAATATACTCATATTCTCCTTACTGATCTTACCAGTTGTTATGGTAGTGCCACCTAGTGACAGATACGTGACTAAAAACGTTGCTATTGTAAGTTTCTGTTACTGTTCTCAATAAACGAGGAAAACTAAATAACAGATATCTTTAATTACACACGATTAAAATTTAATGTTATTCCTGTTTTCATCTCAAATAATTTATCTGAAGGAAACTCCGTGAAAAGAGTTTAAAAATAACAATTACTGAAATAGAAATTATTTTGTTTATTTTTAACTCTATGCCATAGAGACGGACATTACCTTACTAATACATATTTCATTTTAATGAATTGTTATTGGTTAGTATTTTATCTTTCTGACTTGTTATTGGTTAGTATTTTATCTTGCTGACTTGTTATTCGTTAGTATTTCATCTTGCTGACTTGTTATTGGTTAGTATTTCATCTTGCTGACTTGTTATTGGTTAGTATTTTATCTTGCTGACTTGTTATTGGTTAGTATTTCATCTTGCTGACTCGTTATTGGTTAGTATTTCATCTTGCTGACTTGTTATTGGTTAGTATTTTATCTTGCTGACTTGTTATTCGTTAGTATTTCATCTTGCTGACTCGTTATTGGTTAGTATTTCATCTTGCTGACTTGTTATTGGTTAGTATTTCATCTTGCTGACTTGTTATTGGTTAGCCTACTTGGTTCTCCTCCTACACATGGATAGAAGTTACTTTACTGGGTAGTATACTTGGCTCTATATATATATATGCATTAAAGATGTTAAGTAAAACATGGTGTGGCTTATATACCATGGTGTTTGGTTGCTGTTGTTGTTTTGTTTAATATTACAGATATATTTCATTATGTGTTGTGTTTGTAAGTGAAAAGCCTAACGGTAGAAGAGGGTGTAATTTTCGCATAATTTTGAGCATAAATTTAACTTAAAGTCTTGTCGGGAAGAATCAATACAGTTTTTTTCTCTCTCTGTTTCGTCACTACTTCAAACGTGTGTATCTTGTTTTCTCATTTTCTCCCCTAACACCTTTTTTGTTTCTATTTCATCGACATCGAAGAAAGAAAACGTGGATTAAAACGAAAACGAAATTATATAATTTTTCTGTTATATGTACAGATCGATTTTCCCAGTTTCTTCTTTTCTTTATCATTACATTTTAAATAGGGTTCAGGTAGAAACCATTCATTTGTCATCATGTTCATGTGCACGTGCACCAAACTGACAAGTGTGGGAAATGTTTTAAAGAAGGTTTGTATTAGAAGCTAGGGGAAGGCGTAGATTTCGTTCCAAACTTCACAAATTCTAATTAGTCTTCTAGTTATCGAAATGAGGAGCTTGGACTCGTTGTCGTGAGAATGGTGTGTTAATTTTTTTTTTCTTTTGATGATTATAATTACTGATAAAATCCGATGTGAAATATAAGTCGTTTTGGAACCTGCGTTCAAACCGTAAAAGCGTTCTACAACATGTCATCTGTGCCTTGGGAATACCAGCAGTGGCAGGGAAGTTATTCACGAATCTCTTGGCTCAATGATTTGTAATTAAACAAAACTTCGCTTGCATTGTTATTTATTTTTATGTTGTTATGACACTATTTATTTTTGAGGATAACATACTTTCCACGCTGTCACTTTTAATCCTCGCTATACCAGTGTTGATTGCTAACAATGTGTTCACTTTTCCTGGCTCTTCCATTGCTAATTTTCTAACTATCATTATTTATGGTTATTGTATCATAACAGCCTTTCTAATCTTTACTAAAACGAGTTCCTTAAGTTAGTCTTAATTACATTGTGACCGGTATATCTGTAGTCAAACTTTATTCGACTGTGCTCTCCGAACGTCTCAAGCACTGTGCATTCCGATTATAAAACCTAGTAACTGTTTAAAAACTTAAATAACTTAAGGATGTACAAATGAATTTTGGAACTGTTATTAATCATATAATCATGCTTTATCAGAACAATGTCCCATGGTGCACTTCTTCCATCGTTAATCACGGTCACTCTTATAACTGTCATTATCCTCTATAGTTGGAATATTTCGGAATAACATGAGGTCAAGTTTAAAACCGTTATCTTGTCAAGTTTTCCGGAGTGCCTCAACTGTACTTGACTTCCAAGTTCATAAACAGAACCCAGCCAATGGAATTACATTATGCGCGTGGTTTCGAGGACTATCTACGCTTGCCGTCCCTAATTTAGCAGTGACAGCGCAGCTAGTTAACACAACTCACCGACTACTCTTTTACCAACGAATAGTGGAATTGACCGTCACATTATAACGATCCAATGGCTGAAAGGACGAGCGTGTTCAGTGACGGGGATTCGAACCCGCGACCCTGAGACTGCAAGTCGAGCGCCCTAACCCTCAGTATATATGTATTGGGGTAACGGGGCGTAATTTGGCTCTAACTAATAAACCTGATTAGGTAATGGGGCATGAACTGGCTCTTACTAATAAACCTGATTAGGTAATGGGGCATGAATTGGTTCTAACTAATAAACCTGATTAGGTAATGGGGCATGAACTGGCTCTTACTAATAAACCTGATTAGGTAATGGGGCATGAACTGGCTCTTACTAATAAACCTGATTAGGTAATGGGGCATGAACTGGCTTAAACTAATAAACCTGATTAGGTAATGGGGCATGAATTGGCTCTAACTAATCAACCTGATTATGGAATGGGGCATGAATTGGCTCTAACTAATAAACCTTATTATGGACTGGGGCATGAATTGGCTCTAACTAATAAACCTGATTAGGTAATGGGGCATGAATTGGCTCTAACTAATAAACCTGATTAGCACTAGATATTTTTTATTTGTCATCAAATTATCTAAATTGGTTATAATAATAAATATAGTTGTCGCCAGTTGATTCTGTAAAGTTAATCTTAATTAAGTTAATTAAGGTAGTTCCATAATAATTGTTGTTTATGAAATTAAAAATTATTAATGTATGATACGTTAAACTGGTGCATAACCGTCGCTAATTATTAACTGGTGGGTTGGCCCGGCATGACCAGGTGGTTAGGGCGCTCGACTTGCAATCTGAGGGTCGCGGGTTCGAATCCCCGTCACACCAAACATGCTCGCCCCAAAACCCGTGGGGGCGTTAATAAGTGACGGTCAATC